GATTCACATTCAAATATAAATTGCCTGACTGCAAAGAAAAAATGAAAGAGTTGATATTGTTGCCCCAATACTTCTGGAGGGCATTACATATTCTCACATTTAACTAAACTATTGTATATTTTAAGCATGGCCAAAATCCATGAAGAGGAAAAATCACCATATCCCGAGTCAAAAAAAATCACAACAGCAGAGTTAGGTAGAAAATGTAGAAAAAAAGATTTAGATTATGTTAAACTAGAACAGCTTCATATATTTCCGGTGTCAGGACTGAGCTGTACATTGTGACTGACGATTTTACTTGCCTATAATAATATTGTGCAAAAAAAAGCTCAGTGCAAAAATCATTCCATTTTATTCACCAATGCTGTGAACACTTACTAAAGATAGAAGCAAGAATATTTTTATATTATTCATATTCAAATATTTAAGTTAGTACATTATAAATACAGTGTTACACATTAACACAAATACAAGCACATTTCCAATTATTAAAATAATAATAAATATTAAACACTATTTAAAAAAAATCCTTATAGTTACATTTTAACTCATAAGCCATAAAATATAATTAAACAGCAGTAACATAAGGCTTCAATCAAAGGTTATTTTATGCTTTAATGTTATCTTTGGAGGGGTCATTTATTTTATGGGTTTTGTTTTTTACCATTCCACCTCACAAATAGCCTTTTAAATGGCTTCTGCCTTTGTCTAGGAATTCAATCTTTTAGAATCTTTTATTTGGTTCAATAAGTTCAATAGTTGATTAACAGGGGTTTTGGCAATAAACCAAAATAGCAGACAAAGTATGCAGTAAAAATGTTTTTTAGGAAATACATTAAAGAAGCTAAACAAATGCTACAGTATACTCATTGTGACTGTCTAAACTGAAGTAAGGTGGTGGTCCACATTTTGAAAGAACAGATATTTATGTTGGAACCATACAGGCTATGTGCTAGAAATGTATACGGTACAGCAATGTCTGTTATTGGTCCTTACTGTTTCCCACCCCTCACATTTGCTCATAATTGAAGAATGTTTTCATAATTTCTTGAGTTTAGGTTGTACTGTAAGTGGCTCTTGATAGGGCATTATTGTCTGCTTCCTTTTCCTTGACTGTGTTAGCTGGGCCTCCTTGCACAATGGTTGGGCGGCTCGGGGCTGGGGACTCTTGAATACCCTAAGGTGATCTGAAACAAACTGGGGTTTGCTGGAAAATATGTTTTTTTAGGAAATCGGCTTATGTTTTGTGTTTTATTTTCTTCATACAAGACAAGACTTCATTTTGTCAATCACCACGGTGCTTGTGTTACCTAACATATGGACAATTCTCTTCAACTTAGCTCTTGGCATTACTGGCACTTTGGATGTCCAGTAAACAGCTACTGCTGAGGCTTCAAGGTCTGGCTCCTCCTGCTCCTGTTAGATTGTCAGTGACTTCTTCATGGCTGATTTCTTGGACCCCACACTTATACCAGCTCTAACATGCAAACTATACAGAAAAAATAAACCAATAGGTGTTTGAAAGAGGAAACATTGGCTTTTTGAAAAGGACCACATCTTGATAAATATTGAAATTAAGGAGGAAATACTTTCTACTCTGCTTATCTTTTAGAATACAATAAAGAGACTGGTCCAGCAACT